TATGTAGAGTACGAGAACGAGATGAGTGTGTTGCTATTTCGTGATTGCAGTACCACCATGCCTTGAGCGTTTGCACGCAGTTGCTGGTTGTTGGCGACGGTAACGTAGGTGGCGGGGGCGCGGCTGATGATCGAGATGTATCGAACGGATCCCACCGTGTGTTGCCCACAGCAGCTGTCCAGGTACCAGGTGTTGTAGTTGTCGTTGTTGTTGCGTAGAAGTAGCGAAAGCCACGGAGTTACCAATGTTGTTTTATATCGCATGTGAAACGATGGGTCCTCATCCTCCTTCCATCCCACAGGGACGAAGCGCTGATGCTCGTGGGGCGGGCTTTCCCGCAATTGTATTGGCTGATGCCAATCTTGCTCGTCCTCGTCATTTAAAAATTAGTGATCTTTTGTGAGGGTATTGTTCCACCCTTCTTCAGGTTGTATGAGCCCACCGCGAAGTTCTTTCTCTTCGTCTGGTTCGGCGGCTCGTAGGCGACGTCTTGTCGCCATATTAGCGATCACGTTTCTGGGAGCTCCCGCCTGAGTTCCTTGTGTCTGCTGATGTTGTTGGTGGTGTGCAGGGGGGCATGGAGCTTGTTGCTGAGACTGATAGTGACGAGCGTCTTGTCGGCCGACCCAATTGTTATGGTGAGTGGAGTTTGGGTGGCGATAGTTAGACCGGGATTTGCATCGGTTCGTTGAGTGTCCGAGGACTTTGCAATTTTTGCAATAATGGCGCCTTGGTTGGCGTCGCTCTTCACGGTTGTCTGTGTAGAAGGCGAGGCGCTCTCGGCGCGGCGCGGAGCTTGTCCATGGGCTGCTGTTCAGTCAGGAGTGCGGCGCATAGCGCGGCTTCAGAGATAATTCCTCGTTGTCGGAGTAGCGCTTTGCAGGGCTTCCACTCAGGCCCGAGTCCTTGGAGGACGATGTTGACGAAGATCTCCTCCGAAATGGCGCTTCCATGCTTCGTGATTTGGTCACGAATGTTCCGACAGCAGTTAATGTATGTATTTGCTTTCTCCCCTTGCCCCATCTTGGTCCCCATGAGTTGCTACAGGAGCCTGCTGGCGGTGATCGAATCCTTCGGCTGATATACATCAATGAGGTGCTTCCAAGCTTCCAGAGTTGGAGGGGCGCTCTTTTTGTAGGAGCAAATGTTGAGTTATTCCACAGGCGTCATATTTCGTAGCACCACACTGTATGCCATGAGGGACTCGCTGTAGTACTGAGCCCTGGCGTCTTCGGTGTCTTCCACCGGTTTTGCGTAGGAGCCGTCAAAGTAGTGGTAGATCTGCGCTGTTTGTAGGAGGAGCTCAAGCTCGAAATTCCACGTGTAAAAATCCTTGTCGTCAAATGCGGCAGTAGTCTTCATCTTTGAAACGCTGAGAAAACGTGCTTGCGCAGAGTTGATGACTTCATTAATTGGACGGGGGGCAGTTGTTGTTGATTTGTCTGTCTCGAAGGAGAAGGTGTGCGCGCCGCTATCTCGGCTATCCGCAGCCGGTTGTCCAGGTTGAGCTTGAGTTGAGAGTCGGGAAAATAGCTGCTCGAGTGCGGCAGTGCTGATCGTAGTTGTCGACTCATTTGTCGCGACTGGGTTGGTTTGACCTTCGGCCGTCAGATTGGCTTGGCCTCCGGATCCTCCGACCATCTTGGTCTTGGAGCGTGTGCCGCTCGCCAGATCTTGATTCAGCGAATTTCACGGAAGTGAAGTTGCGAAGATTCCCTGAGTAGCTCTCATACCATGACACAATCCCAAGCGGGACTTAGCGAAGGATCGCCCAGGGTTGATCGCAGGGTAGTGTTGCAGCGGAAGAATTTGGAACACAGGTCAGGGTGAATGTAAATGATTGAGATTGATAATAGCATCCATACATCAGGTTTATATAGGAAATACAAAGGAATGCGAAACGACATAGACTAGCCATGTACTCTAACGTGTACATCCCCTTATTACATCGAAGTTCAAACCGTGCAGCCAGGGAACCCGTTTCAAACCTGTTCCCGCTCTTTTCACTTCAAATGTTTCTGCCCGCATCGGTCTTGGTCAGACGGTTACCAGCGTCGCTTCGACCCTTCTGACTCCTCGACTTCGTACTCGGTAGAGTCTTCTCCTTCAGCCTACAGTAATGCCTTCTCATGAAATTTCATATCGTAACAAGCCTAACAATAGTGGTGGTTATATGTTGTGGATGCCGTTATATAGTAGTGGTAGTTTAATCTTTTGTGTTATGCTCTTTTGAAACTTGTTCTGAAATCTCTTTTTGCAAACGGTTCCGTCACCACCGAGAATTCTGTAGGCTCATTGTAGGTTTCAGACTCCCACTCGCAGCATCCTTACAAGCCGTGGTAGCTCTTATACGTCGAACACTACTTTGAGCGCCACGCGAACTGTCACAGGCGACAGCCACGGCGCCTAACGTGTACATCCCCTTATTACATCGAAGTTCAAACCGTGCAGCCAGGGAACCCGTTTCAAACCTGTTCCCGCTCTTTTCACTTCAAATGTTTCTGCCCGCATCGGTCTTGGTCAGACGGTTACCAGCATCGCTTCGACCCTTCTGACTCCTCGACTTCGTACTCGGTAGAGTCTTCTCCTTCAGCCTACAGTAATGCCTTCTCATGAAATTTCATATCGTAACAAGCCTAACAATAGTGGTGGTTATATGCTGTGGATGCCGTTATATAGTAGTGGTAGTTTAATCTTTTGTGTTATGCTCTTTTGAAACTTGTTCTGAAATCTCTTTTTGCAAACGGTTCCGTCACCACCGAGAATTCTGTAGGCTCATTGTAGGTTTCAGACTCCCACTCGCAGCATCCTTACAAGCCGTGGTAGCTCTTATACGTCGAACACTACTTTGAGCGCCACGCGAACTGTCACAGGCGACAGCCACGGCGCCTAACGTGTACATCCCCTTATTACATCGAAGTTCAAACCGTGCAGCCAGGGAACCCGTTTCAAACCTGTTCCCGCTCTTTTCACTTCAAATGTTTCTGCCCGCATCGGTTTTGGTCAGACGGTTACCAGCGTCGCTTCGACCCTTCTGACTCCTCGACTTCGTACTCGGTAGAGTCTTCTCCTTCAGCCTACAGTAATGCCTTCTCATGAAATTTCATATCGTAACAAGCCTAACAATAGTGGTGGTTATATGCTGTGGATGCCGTTATATAGTAGTGGTAGTTTAATCTTTTATGTTATGCTCTTTTGAAACTTGTTCTGAAATCTCTTTTTGCAAACGGTTCCGTTACCACCGAGAATTCTGTAGGCTCATTGGAGGTTTCAGACTCCCACTCGCAGCATCCTTACAAGCCGTGGTAGCTCTTATACGTCGAACACTACTTTGAGCGCCACGCGAACTGTCACAGGCGACAGCCACGTCGCCTAACGTGTACATCCCCTTATTACATCGAAGTTCAAACCGTGCAGCCAGGGAACCCGTTTCAAACCTGTTCCCGCTCTTTTCACTTCAAATGTTTCTGCCCGCATCGGTCTTGGTCAGACGGTTACCAGCGACGCTTCGACCCTTCTGACTCCTCGACTTCGTACTCGGTAGAGTCTTCTCCTTCAGCCTACAGTAATGCCTTCTCATGAAATTTCATATCGTAACAAGCCTAACAATAGTGGTGGTTATATGCTGTGGATGCCGTTATATAGTAGTGGTAGTTTAATCTTTTGTGTTATGCTCTTTTGAAACTTGTTCTGAAATCTCTTTTTGCAAACGGTTCCGTTACCACCGAGAATTCTGTAGGCTCATTGGAGGTTTCAGACTCCCACTCGCAGCATCCTTACAAGCCGTGGTAGCTCTTATACGTCGAACACTACTTTGAGCGCCACGCGAACTGTCACAGGCGACAGCCACGGCGCCTAACGTGTACATCCCCTTATTACATCGAAGTTCAAACCGTGCAGCCAGGGAACCCGTTTCAAACCTGTTCCCGCTCTTTTCACTTCAAATGTTTCTGCCCGCATCGGTCTTGGTCAGACGGTTACCAGCGTCGCTTCGACCCTTCTGACTCCTCGACTTCGTACTCGGTAGAGTCTTCTCCTTCAGCCTACAGTAATGCCTTCTCATGAAATTTCATATCGTAACAAGCCTAACAATAGTGGTGGTTATATGCTGTGGATGCCGTTATATAGTAGTGGTAGTTTAATCTTTTGTGTTATGCTCTTTTGAAACTTGTTCTGAAATCTCTTTTTGCAAACGGTTCCGTCACCACCGAGAATTCTGTAGGCTCATTGTAGGTTTCAGACTCCCACTCGCAGCATCCTTACAAGCCGAGGTAGTTCTTATACGTCGAACACTACTTCGAGCGTCACGCGAACTGTCACAGGCGACAGCCACGGCGCCTAACGTGTACATCCCCTTATTACATCGAAGTTCAAACCGTGCAGCCAGGGAACCCGTTTCAAACCTGTTCCCGCTCTTTTCACTTCAAATGTTTCTGCCCGCATCGGTTTTGGTCAGACGGTTACCAGCGTCGCTTCGACCCTTCTGACTCCTCGACTTCGTACTCGGTAGAGTCTTCTCCTTCAGCCTACAGTAATGCCTTCTCATGAAATTTCATATCGTAACAAGCCTAACAATAGTGGTGGTTATATGCTGTGGATGCCGTTATATAGTAGTGGTAGTTTAATCTTTTGTGTTATGCTCTTTTGAAACTTGTTCTGAAATCTCTTTTTGCAAACGGTTCCGTTACCACCGAGAATTCTGTAGGCTCATTGGAGGTTTCAGACTCCCACTCGCAGCATCCTTACAAGCCGTGGTAGCTCTTATACGTCGAACACTACTTTGAGCGCCACGCGAACTGTCACAGGCGACAGCCACGGCGCCTAGGGTCGCCTAGCGCATCGTCGGAAAGTGAGGAAGGTGGGGCGTGGCGTAAGAGAAGGCTTCTGAGCGAAGGGAGAGGGCGCCTGCCTCCCGGGGAGGCGAAGGGGAGAGAGAGTGTGTGTGAACGGAGAGAATCTCGAAAATTTTCAAAAGTGACTCCGATAGGACAGGATTGCAGATGGCGAGGCGCGTTAGCGACTTTTGAGGCGCCTTAAAGGTCGACTGGATTGAATCGCAGTTGGTGAGCCGTGTTGGCGAAGGAGGTGGGTGGGCCGAAAGGCGAGGAGGAGGCGGTGAAAGGAAGAGGTACGACGAGAGGTGGATAGCGGTGGGCGGCATAGGTGGAGGCAAGAATCAAGAGTACAGCCTCTCGTCCCCGCCCTTCCCCTCTCTAGCGTCCTCTTTCCCCACGCCGTCGCTTCTCCTCTTTCCCCACGCCGTCGCTTCTCCTCTTTCCCCACGCCGTCGCCTCTCCTCTTTCCCCACGCCGTCGCTTCTCCTCTTTCCCCACGCCGTCGCCTCTCCTCTTTTCCCGCCGTCGCCTCTCCTCTTTCCCCACGCCGTCGCCTACGCTGTCGCGTCTCCTCTTTCCCCACGCCGTCGCTTCTCCTCTTTCCCCACGCCGTCGCTTCTCCTCTTTCCCCACGCCGTCGCTTCTCCTCTCTCCCCACGCCGTCGCCTCTCCTCTTTTCCCGCCGTCGCCTCTCCTCTTTCCCCACGCCGTCGCTTCTCCTCTTTCCCCACGCCGTCGCTTCTCCTCTCTCCCCACGCCGTCGCCTCTCCTCGTTTCCCGCCGTCGCTTCTCCTCTCTCCCCACGCCGTCGCCTCTCCTCTTTTCCCGCCGTGGCCTCTCCTCTCTCCCCACGCCGCCGCTTCTCCTCTTTCCCCACGCCGTCGCTTCTCCTCTCTCCCCACGCCGTCGCCTCTCCTCTTTTCCCGCCGTCGCCTCTCCTCTTTCCCCACGCCGTCGCCTACGCTGTCGCCTCTCCTCTTTCCCCACGCCGTCGCTTCTCCTCTTTCCCCACGCCGTCGCTTCTCCTCTTTCCCCACGCCGTCGCTTCTCCTCTCTCCCCACGCCGTCGCCTCTCCTCTTTTCCCGCCGTCGCCTCTCCTCTTTCCCCACGCCGTCGCCTACGCTGTCGCCTCTCCTCTTTCCCCACGCCGTCGCTTCTCCTCTTTCCCCACGCCGTCGCTTCTCCTCTTTCCCCACGCCGTCGCTTCTCCTCTTTCCCCACGCCGTCGCTTCTCCTCTCTCCCCACGCCGTCGCCTCTCCTCTTTTCCCGCCGTCGCCTCTCCTCTTTTCCCACGCCGTCGCCTACGCTGTCGCCTCTCCTCTTTCCCCACGCCGCCGCTTCTCCTCTTTCCCCACGCCGTCGCTTCTCCTCCCCACGCCGTCGCTTCTCCTCTTTCCCCACGCCGTCGCTTCTCCTCTCTCCCCACGCCGTCGCCTCTCCTCTTTCCCCACGCCGTCGCTTTTCCTCTCTCCCCACGACCCTCGCCTCTCGTCTTCCCCCGTGGTCGCCTCTTCTTCCTCTCTTGCCGTCGCCTCCCCACTTGAGCAAATGCCTTCGTTCCCCCGCGTTTTTCATCCCCCCCATGACGTTGCCCGGTCCCCTCCCGTTCCCAGAGGATGGGGAATAACCTCAACCCAACCCTTCCCTTCCCCACCCCCTCTTTCCCCCCTCCTCCCCACCCATTTCATTTTTCGCTCTGATTCACCCCTTGTGCGTCCCCCCCGTTGTTCCCCCTGCAACTTCCCCAAGCGACACTGCAGATCCCGATAGGAGCAAGCCTCGTCTCCATCCATCATCTTCTTGACCTGCTCTGCTCGCTCTCCGAGGTGGGTGGCTGAGAGTGTGAGTGTGCGCAGGAGAACGTGGGAGGGAGGGAATGTGAGCGTGCGAAAGAGTTAGGGTTTGAGAGAGAGGGAGAGTCAGTGGGTCAGAGGGAGAGGGCGCAAGAGTGTGAGAGGTTGTGAGAGGGAAGGAGTACAAGGTGTGAGTCAGAGAGTGAGTGATAATATGTGAGAGTGAGGGGGGGAGCGAGATTGATAGTGTGTATGACATTCCGAATACGAGTGGGGAGCGTGAATGAGTGTGAACAGATACGGTTTCGCCAACTTTGACGCCCGTTCTAATGTTTGAGTGCTATTGTTTGAAGGTCAGCACACCTGGTTCAAGACGTGCTCATACACGGCTTTGTTCGCCTCGTAACGAGTAACGATCAGTTAGTTTTTGAAACATCGAACATGGGTAGCCACCGCCGCCAATGTGCCGCGCCCTTAGTATTATTCTTATCCCATATCCGTACCACTTACCCCCCCTCCCTGTCCCTTTCTACTAGGCTATATCAATCCTCCTGCCAACCTCCAGATTCCTCCCTCACCATCGTCCAGGCATCATCACCCCTGCCATCACTGTATCCCTCCTCGTGCTGCCATGGAGGGAGGCGCAGCAGCAGCAGCAGCGCCGGCCTTCACCCTGCCACGCTTCTACGACTACCCTCCCTACTTCACGTGCGTCACCGCGCCGAACCTTGCTGCACCTCTCACTCCTTCCCAGCCCCACGTTGCTGCTCGCTCCATTTCCGAATCACTACATCCCTTCAACTGCTTCAATTAGCTTCACCTCCGCACTGCATTCATCTGCTTCTGCACGCCTCTCCTTCCCCCCTCCCTCCCAACCCCCCCAAAACAATCATCACGGCCATCCATCCCACTGGCGGCACTGGCGGGGGGCGGCAGGCTGCAGCCGATCAAGGCGACGCGTGAGCGGCAGGTGCGGCTGTGGGCGGAGCTGATCGTGGCGTGGTGCCGCCACCACCGCACGCTGCTCGTGCCCCTCGACCACTTCCCCCTCTTCCACCACCCCGCCATCCAGCGTGAGGGCTTGGGAGGAGGAGCAGGCGGGGCACTACACATGTGTGCTAGGGGGTGGTGAGGGGGAGAAGCAGAGGGAAGGGGGGGGAGGAGGGGTGGGAGGGGGGTGGTGGGGGCAAGGGGTGAATGGGGGAAAGGGGTGTCGAGGTGGAGGTGGTATGGTATGGGGCGTGGCGTGGGGATGACTCTTTTCTTGGGGGAAATTGGGGCATTGGTAGAACCTTCACCCCTAGATCCCTCGTTGCTCTTGCTCCCCCCTTCAAGCGGTCTTTGTATCGATTTAAGCTGTGGTGCAAGTAATGTATGGGCATCTCGAGGTAAATCGGTTGCTGTATCGATTACCAGGTGCGTCACGACACAACACCGTAGTGAAGACAAAGAGGAAAGCAAGGGGTGGGTGGGTGTTGACAGGCGGAGAGTGGATGGGCAGATCGCGTCTAGTTGGGGAAGCGTGGGGAGGTTGGTAATCCAAGCTGATGTGGAAAAACGGGTTGAGAGCTCCCTGCTCTTGAGCTCTCTGCTTATCCCCCTCCACTTTCGACGACTTCCGTTCCCTCATGCATTTGTTTCTCACCTGTTCCTCGCTCCTCACTCACCTCCATGCACGCCCGGTTTCTCTCTATTCAGGTCCCAATGGCCTGTTCCACTCCACCCCGTGTGTGCGTGAAATCAATCATGGCAGGCAAGCTGACGTTCGAGGCGCGGCAGGTCTTTCTCGAGGCTCTCGTTGCAGAAGGCAAGCTCACTCCGCCTCTCTTGTGATCGTCACATGGCCCCAACGTTGATGTGCTCTCAACGCTCATATATCTAGGCGCATAGATTATTCCTTCCGCTCCCATTCCTTCTCAACAGCATCACCTTCGTACTTTCTCCACTCAATGCATCGCCTCCAATGGCCATCCTCCAGTCGTTTCGCGGTGCCTTGAGCCTGCAGAGTGATTTCAAGCTTAGGGATGAGAGCGTCAGTTCATGGATTAGGGCGCTTCGTTCTCATCAAGCTTATGTGTCCATGAAGCGAAACTGTGCATTTCCTCCTGTGCGCTCCTCCCCCCCGTGTGCCAGGGCGGGCGGAGTGGACGGATCGGAGTCGAACGCGGTGCCTCATTCTGTGGAAGTCCATCAACGACTGGGCCGACACCCTGCTGCACTTCGTACGCTCCCTCCCCTCCGCTCTCTCACGTGTCCTTGCATCAATTGGTACAAGTGGACCGTGATGTCAGCAAAGGGGGTGTAAGCTGACAAACTTAAGATCCAAAGACCTGTTGCAGTGATGAACGAGAGATGCATACAAGGTTCGTGGTGCAGCAAGGTCTTGGCAAAATCCAAGGGGGCGGACAAGGTCTCTTGGATTGGAGCAGGTATCGTGTGTTAAACGGCCAATCCCAACGTCAAGCACTTAAGGCTTGTCCCAAGGCGAAAAAAGCAGGCTTGACAAGTCAGGGGCAGCTCGGCTGACCGCACACAATGTCTCATGGAGCGTGTACCGGCTGGCGACATTTCATCCCGAGCTGCCCCTTCTCATCCGCGGTCCTCCTCAGCCTGGCTCTAACCCCTTCTCCACGGAATTCGCCAGCAGAGGGAAGAGGTGGGCGGGGCAAGGACGGAATTGAGGCGTGCAAAGGTTCCCTCAGCACCGGGGCGGATGAGGACGCCCGCGTGAAAGGAAGCCCGGCTGGCTCCAGCATATGCTGGCGTTAGGAGAATAGCCGTGGTGCACTGTGGGGGCGAAGTGCACTCGACATTCACCCCAGTACGTGGGCGCGGGGGGCTGTGCGACTGGAGTCACTTCCAGCAGGCAAGGCGATGCAGTGGTTGGGTGGGCGGGGCGGATGTCCATGATTGACAGCAACAGAGTGGGAGCAACCCATCCGTAGCAGTGGTTGACGCCAGCCTTTAGAAGAACAGAGCTCCCGCGAGGCCGAGTGGGATGACTTTGAGTCGACTCAAAAGGACGCTCTGGGCGCCCGCAGCGCCTGGGGAGGTACGAGGCTTGAGTGAAGGGTGAAGGAAGGCAGGCAGGCACATGCAGAAGGCAGGCAGGCGGCAGTGGAGGCCAGCAGGACATGTGGCGGTGGGCAGCTGACGTGGTGCTCCTCAGCGAGAAGATGTCTCCCGTGTAGAGGGGGGGGTGTGGGTTCACGGTGGCTCACTCCTGGGGCACTCACCACCAGGTGTTTCAAAGAAAGGTGGCGAAATGGGGTGGCTGATACGTGAGGAGGAAGAGGAGGAAGGATCCAAGCATTGTTCCACGTCGACGGTGCACCAGCTCTGGGAAAGCGCTCCCGCTCGATGGCGCGGAACTGGTAGAGCAATTGGACGTGGAGAGGGACTCAAGCCATTGCGGTGCTCCAAGAGTTAAGTGCGTCGGCAAATCAGCTGGGTCGGGTCGAGTCGGGTTTGGTGATGCCATTGAGAGGAAGGAGCTGCCTCGTTGGCCAACCAGCCAGGCCAGGGCATAGTGGTAAACGGTGTTTCGGAAAAGGTGCGATCAACACCTTGGGGTACACTAAGCCTAGACTCGAGTCCAACAGAAGTGTAGCGAGTGCCTTATAACAAGCCTCATGTGCGAGATCGCAGCTGTTAAGTTATCGAGTCAGAGAGAAGCTATACAGCTGGTGACAGGTCGGGCAGGTTTGAGATTTGAGTGTGTGGAAGATTTTCCGCAGGTGTAGGGCACACGATATTGAAAACCATTGCATGTAAATTGTCGAGAGCAACTTGTTACTCTGAAAGAAATCAAAATGCATGTCTGTCATAGCTATGTTGCGAGCAGCATAGGCGAGGGCAGGGCTGGAGTGGCGGATGGGGCACCTGGGCGCCCAGGGGATGGGGCAAGCGGGGGGGAGTGTTCCGTGGGTAAGCTGTCGGGTGGAAGAAGATGGTGCACACAATCACGAGGTGCCGGGGTGGTGGTGGGGGGGATCCAGGTTCGGTGCAGGTGGGGCGCGCGTGGGGCGTGATGCATCCAAGCTTATAGTGGAGGCGTTGAGGTTAGGCTCATTGCGCGGAGAGTTGAACTCAAAGCAGTCCTGAAGGGCGATGTACACAGTCCAGGCACTATGTCTGATTCATTATTGCCGTGCGCTTCTTCCTCACTTGTCTTCCTACGGCCCATAGGTGCGCGAGAACGGATTCGGAGATTCTGTTTTGACACTCGAGGAAATACGAGCAGGGGATGATACGAAAGGGACAGGTACGTATGCAAGTGTGCTCTCCCCATCGATCTGGCCTCCTCACTGCATGCGGCATATGTCCGGCCTGAATGGTTATTGAGAGCACCAAGGGAGAAAGCAAGACCTGTAGTGAAACGCGCGCTTCTCTGGTTCCAAATGTTTCTCTCGCCTCTTACCCATTGTTGCTTGTGTGTGCATTGTGAGGATGGTTACTGCATGCTGTTCAATGATACTGTGTGCGTGTGTGCGGTTGTGTCCATGTGTGAGGTGCGCATGCGTGAATGTGTGTGTGTGTGTGTGTGTGTGTGTGCATGTCTGTCTGTGTGCATGTGTGCACGTGTGCATGTGTGCACGTGTGCTCGTCTGCATGTGTGCATGTGTGCGCATTTGCATTTGTGCGCGTGTGCATGTGATCGTGAGTCCGTGTGTGCATGTATGCGTCTGTGCATGTGTGCATCTGTGCGTGTGTGCATGTGAGCGTGAGTCCGTGTGTGAATGTGTGCCTGTCTGCATGTGTGCATTTGTGTGTGCGTGCATGTGTGCGTATGTGCATGTGTACATGTGTGCGTGTGTGCGTGTGTGCGTATGTGCATGTGAGCGCGAGTCTGTGTGTGGATGTGTACATGTTTACGTGTGTCTTTTTGTGCGTTTGTGTGTGTGTGTGCATGTGTGTGCATGTGTGTGTGCATGTCTGTGCGTGTGTGCATGTGTGCATGTGCGCATGTGCGTGTGTGCATGTGTGCATGTGCGTGTGTGCATGTGTGCATGTGCGTGTGTGCATGGGTGCATGTGTGCATGTGCGTGTGTGCATGTGTGCATGTGTGCATGTGCCTGTGTGCATGTGTGCACGTGTGCATGTGCGTGTGTGCATGTGTGCATGTGTGCATGTGTGCATGTGTGCTTGTGCGTGTGCGTGTGTGCATGTGTGCTTGTGCGTGTGCGTGTGTGCATGTGTGCGTGTATGCGTGTGTATGTGTGTCGTGTGTGTGCACCAGACCTGGAGGGCATTGACGAGGATGTGTTGCGGAGGGCCATCAGAGTGCTCGAGGGGAGGGGCCTCGCCACGCTCTTCAAGGGCTCCTCCTCCGACGACGAAGGGGTCAAGTTCTTCGCCTAGCTGCTGCCACTGAGAGGCGAGAGGGATAGAGGAGCTTGTCTGGGAGAGGAGGGGGGATTGGGGGAGTTGGGCTGCAAGGGACGTTATGGACTGGCGTTTGGGGCTGCAAGAGGCAGGGTGAAGAGGGAGTTCAACACACTCTGCTGAAGCTTCTGTGGTATATTGTTGAAGACATTTGTTTACTTGCGTTTTCGTGGAAATTTTGCTGAAATACCGTAGTCTATTGGATATAAGGCCCCTCGCAACTAAAGACCCCCCCGGGTATGTTATACGGGAATATGTATTTTATTCTGGTAGATGTTCATTGTACCCCGAGCCTAGAGAGGTATGCATTATGAGACCCCCCCTCAAAGCTGTATGTTAGCCTTCTAATGCAAACGTAGAACGGTTTCACTTCTTTTCCTAGCATGATTAGTGTGTGAACCCCATTATAAAGACCATAAACCCACTCAAGGTTGATTTTGTTGGGCTGAAAAAGCCCTTAGGATCTTTGCAGGGGTGAACTCTGGGTAGAGTTGGTGTAGTAGCGGAAGCGTTAATTAGAGAGTTGTGAACCACCTTGCGCTAGTGTGTGAGGGCAAAGTAAGTTGATTAAAACAAAGAGATACAAGAATATATATAAGAGTACAAGGAATACGAAGAGGTACGGTTGTAACTGCTTTACTGTTGCTGTTGCGGTTCGATACAGCGACGACTCGGGCAACTGCTCTGTAGCGAGTCAGTTGTGTGTCCTTGCTGTCGCGCTGTATTTGTCAGGTCAAAGGTCGCTGACCTTTGACTTCCCCGTAACCTCCAGCGGTTGCTTCAACCTATGAGGGTTGACTCGCCGGTGCTTCGATATGCTCTGCTTCATTTGTGCCTTAGTGTTTCGACACGACAGAGGCGCCTAGGACCGATTGTTTCCAACAGATTTTTCAAGAAGCCAGTAGCAAGGAGGAAGATGGAAACACATTATACTCACTCATCCTGACCTGACCTGCCCTTCTGTCAAAATCATAACTATGATGTGTAGGCTATAGTGGGGCATGCTCTATGGGGTACAGCAGTTTAGGGTTCCACATTTGTATCTCACTGCTGTCTACTCAATTCATTCTGCTGTTTACACTTCTTGACATGGTATCAGTCGCTAGGTTAGGTCCGTACCTACCGTCGTTACCCTGCCCCGCGTGCGCCCTTCGCGCCGCCTCGCGCGCCGTGCCTGCCCGTGTGCGATGTCCTGCCCCCGCTACCTCGCGCGCAGCTGCCCGTGCGCCGCCCTGCCGCGCCTGCCGGTACGCTGCCCCGCGCGCCGCACCTTCCCGCGCGCACTGCCCTGCCCGTACGTTGCCCCACGCGCGCTGCTCTGCCCGTACGCTGCCTAGCGCGCCGCGCCTGCCCCCGCGCGCTGCCCTGCCCGTGCGCTGCCCCGCGAGCCGCGCCTGCCCGCGAGCGCTGCCCAGCCGCCGCTGCCTCGCGCGCAGCTACCCGTGCGCTGCGTCTCCCCGTGCGCCGCCCTTCCGCGCCTGCCCGAGCGCTGCCTCGCCGCGCCTGCCCGCGCGTGCTGCCCTTTCCGTGCGCCGCACTGCCCGGCCGCTGCGTGCTGCCCTGCCGCACGCTCGCGCGCTGCCCTTCTGCCGCGCGCGCTGCCCTGCCTCGCCGCGTGCGCTACCTTGCTGCTGCGCGCTGCCTTGCTGCCGATCCGCACTGCCTAATTCCGCGCTGCGCCACACTACCGTTTTGTCTGCTCCCGAGCCACTCACCTAATGCTGTGCTGTTCGTTCTCCCAGTGCGCCCCGAACTGATGCCGGTGCCTAGATCTGCAGCTACTTCCTAGTACTGAAGCTTGACCTAGTTCCTGTCATGCCCATTATCACTGTCCAAGAGGTTGACGCAGACGGACGCCCTCTCGAGTTTGGGTCGTGGCTAGAGCGCCTGCACCTGAATCTCCAGCGTTCCATTATAGATGACGTCTCCCTGTTCGAGCACGCGTCGAAGTCTCTTCAGGCCCCCACGACTCTGACTATGACTGCTGCTAACGCTGAGGACGTCCAGCGGCGGTACAGGGCAGACCGCATTGCCTGCACAAGGTGGATGGCACGCGACGCTGTCGCCCAGCTTGCTGTCCACGCTCACCTGTCGCTCGACCAGAGGGCCCCCTTTCGCCAGGTGATGTCGGCTCAGACTTTCTACGACGCTGTGGTCAGGCTATACTCCTCTCTCTCTCTTGCTACCCTAGGTCGTCTTGCGCTGCCGATTCTCCTCCCTAATTTTCGTCGCCAGCGTTTGGGGTTGGAGGTTCTGAGGGTGGGCAGAAGCAGCAGCAGCAGCGGCGGCATCAGTTGGTCTAGGAGCAGCAGCAGCTGTCGTCGCTAGCATATGTTGAGGAGGCAAGTGTAGGTGCCCGTGAGTGTGCTAGCACAGCTGCAATTCTTGCGAAGGCTTTGCACACCTTTACACTTGCAATTCTGCTGGTCGTCGACGACTACACGCGCTACACCACGTTGTTTCCTGTAGAGCATAAGAGAAACGTCAGTGCTATTTTGATCCCTTGGATCCACACTGCTCATCGTCAGCTGAGCGCACGGTTCCGTCAGGACCTTCCGGTGCTTCGTCTGCACTTTGACCATGGTGGAGAGTTCTCCTCTGGTATGCTGGAGGCTTATTGTCGTGAGGAGGGAATCATAAGTCGTTCACGCTTCCGGCCTCTCCACAGAAGAATATGATCGCTGAGTGCCGCATTGGCTTGAACATGGAGGTTTCTCGCACCTCTATGATCCATGCGGCTGCTCCCCATTTTTTGTGGCCGTTTGTGGTCCAATACGCCGCGCATCAGCTCATCCTCTGGTCCCATGTTTCCGAGTCAAAGACCTCCCCTACAGTGCGTTGGACGGGGGAGGTTGGTGATGCGTCAACGTTTTGGGTCTGGGGTTCGCTTGCCCTTGTCTGCGATCCTACCGCGGGCAAGCTCTCTCCCCGCACCATCCGCTGCGCCTTCCGTGGCTTTCGTGACGACGCGCCGCCCTGGCAGTTTTACCACCCAGGCACGCGACGCGTCCTGTACTCTTGCGACGTCAACTTTGACGAATCCGTTTGCTACTACCGTCTCTTCCCCCACCGCAGTTCCTCGGTGACCCCCCCACCCCTCTTCCTGGTTCCAGGTTACCCCCCCGTAGACCCCCGCCCCCCCCTTCGCGTCTTGCTCCCTCAGGTGTGTCTCAGGCCTCACCATCCCCCTTGGTTGAGCCTTTGGAGGTCTCCTCAGACCCCACTGGCCCGGCTGAGGAGGGTGACCCTACTGCTGACGACACTGTGGCCTCTCGTCGCTCCCCGTCGCTCCCCGCACTTGGCGACCCCTCCTGGTTTTCCGCCTCGACCGCCTTCGCCGCCCCTGCAGCCTGTCGCTGTGGACTTTGGTACTGCTGGGGGTGCGGGCTCTGGGGGTGCTAGGTCTTGGGGTGCTGACGCTGGAGGTGCTGGTGTCACGAAGGTAACTATTTAATGAATGAGTGAGAAACAAGCAGTACAAGGATGGATATAGGAACCCTAAACTGAACCTATGGCAAAATGTAACACACCTAGACTAACACACATAAACTATAGAAAATATAGTTTGACACACCCCCATAGTCTAGGTGATAGTAGTCCTGTGGAAAGCAACACACAACCCATGAGCAAGGGTCACAGGACCAGTCGGCAAGAACGAGCAACTATCACAAGACCAGTTCACAAGAACAAAGCAACTCTCGGGTTGGATATCAAGATCACCACACAGTCCGAGAACAAGCAAGGGGCCACAAGGCCAGTCCACATGCAAGTATATAGCAGATATAAGAGATGCAAGAGTATAAGACATGCATGACAAGCATCTCTACAGAAGCAAGGGGCCACAAGGCCTGTCCACAAGCACATATATAGAATATATAG